AAGAGATGAATGAAGAAGCTGGTTTTTTCTTCAAGTTTTTGGTGTGATTAATTGAAGCCGAGAAGCTTCAATTTATAGGCAAGAGGTTAACCAAATTTCCCAGATTTTTCCCTCCAAGATAGAGTTCAAGAAGATTGAAATTGTTACAAGGGATAAGAATATCATAACAATCCAACCTCCACGTGAAGATAAGAGATAGAATTCTCAATTCAAATTATCTCCACAATTGGGTATTGAGCACCTAATCCAATGAACTGATTTCCTCTAAATACTCAATAAGATTCTAACTACATCGTTTGTGGTGTGAATTTCAATATTCTTCAATCATGAGCTTGTAGCCTATGAAGATAAACGGGCAACGATTTTTCATCATTGTTTAGAAGTTATTTGGGCATCACCAAAATACCCAACATAAGTCAAAATAAATAATTAATTTTAATCACACATTTCATCATTAATTCACCAATTTATCGATTTTTCAACCAAATATTTCATCAATTTTGTTAAAATTTACTAAAATATTGATTTGTAGCAAAATCAAACAGTGGCTTAGTTTAAATGAAGTAAATATGATAATGACCTAATTTAACATGTGTCATTGATCATTGGTTGAGCCATTGTCATCACTATCGTGTGGTTCTCTTTAAAATAGAATTATTTTGATTTGAGTGTTCCTCTTTGTATCTCTTTTTTATCCCATGGCCCGAGTAGTCATGAACTCGAGAATATGTCCTCGTTGGAGCTTGCCACTTAGCATATGATCCCATGGAAGGTTCGTTCATCTAATGGCACGGGTTGGCCAAAAGCTCACCTTCACATCAAGACTCTACAAGCTATAGAGCGATATTGTCACGGGTGCAAAGTTGGTAGATCATATTGTTATGTCAATGTTAGGTGAGGTCCGTGAGGAGCGTGGGGTTAAGCGAATCCCCCATGCGGTAAACAAGCAATTGCTTACAATGAGCCCATTTTTTTAGGTGGCGGACACGTAGACTTTATGCAAATCAAAGGTGTAACAATAGCAATTTTGACAAGCACATAACTAAGAGATTGTGCCATCTTGTTTGAGATTGTCCATAAATTTTAAGATTCAAATATTGGTTTCAACTCAGCCCTTGTTCGAGCCCGTTTTATTAAAAATTTATTATTTTAAAACTCATTTTCAACCATACATTCTTCAATATAATAATATTATACGTAAATCGAAAAAAAATTCTTCATTTTTAATCATACATCCTCCAAAAATCACTATTCAAAAATACAAATTTCTCTCAAAATGGGGCTCAAACAAGGACTTAATCACTATAAATTACTCTGCTTATTAAATTCTAGATGGACCAAATTGTTTGCTAATACGAAGTTGATTATCGTTTATAACTACTGATCTTGAAATCCAAAAACTTATTTATATTATAGATAGAATTAATTGTTCATCAAACTTTTGCTCTCTCAAACAATAAGAATTGTAGTTTTGTACCTTTATTTTAGAATCATGTTACTTGTACAATTTTGGTTGACAACATCCTATTTGACAGTATCACATTCATCAATTTTAAAAACTGTTTTTTAAATCAAATGCTCGTTCGGATTTTGACAACACATGGTTGTCAACCATATTTGTACAACTAACTTTATTGATTATTTTATGTGGTAATGCGATTTTATCCTTAACACTTTTCCTTTTCCTTTGTCATTTTTTTGGAAATTATTTGAAATTTGGATCTATCCTTCCTTTCAATCCCCACAGAAAGTCAACTTTATACTTGTTGGGATAGACATTCAAATTGTAATTAAGTTACTAATCATACATTGATAATTGGTTTTAACAAATCCCAATAGACTTTTCATTGATAATAACTTTTACAAATTGTGTACTCCTCAGAATCATCTCGACCGTGTCTCCATTGAACCAACTTGAATATTGATGCCGGTCGGCTAATAAGTCATGTCGTGTGGTCAATCGGAAAGCGAATTTATGTCCAAATCAATCTCAACGACGCATGTTGATATACTGTGACTCGATGAATTGGTGCCAGTTGACACCTCGCCATGTCACCATGCTCACTCAAATCCTTCCAATTATTCATTGAAGACAATTAAAACTCGACAATACCAAAAACCTTCTCTGCATCCTAGAACAGTTAAGCACTTTAGGCATGACAACGGATCAAGTTGAGCCAACTCGATCCTTAAACACTTGAGCTAGGGTCATATCCAAAACATGGGGCCGATTCAGCCCATAGGCTCATGGGCCTCAAGAGCTAAGCCTAGCCGGCTCTTTTCTTTTTTAGAAATTAGAAAAATAAATCTAAACACAAGATTATTTTTAAAAGAAGATAATAAACTAACAAAAACAAGTCAATTCACAATCCCAAATGAGTTCGAGTCATCCATGGATCAAGCCGAGACAAGTTAAATTCATGAACAGACGAAGTGCTCAACCCATTTGCCACCCCTTAAGCACCTTACCACCAATGGAAAAACTTTGTTGTGTCGTGAACCACCGCACAAACAATTAAATAAACAATCTTTGTATCAAATATAAAACGTGGATTTGTAT